AGCCGAACAAACGTCTTTAAAGAGGGCGATTTGGTGCAATTGTATAGACCAATCCCTCCGCCCGGAACCCACCGGAAATTCTACCACCCCTGGAGCAAGGAACCCTACCGGGTAATCAAAGCCCTGCCGCCCACGAATTATATAGTTCGGAACGCGGAGATCGCTACTCGGCATCAAACAGCACACCATAACAAGATTAGGCCATATACGGGTCCACCCCCAGTAGGTTACGAAGACGAAGTCTATGCGGTACCAGAAAAAGAAGTTCCGGGTCAGTACCGGGGATGGTGCTTGAAAGAGAAGAGGAGCTGTGTAATATATTCTGCAACGCATTTTCCAAATATTTTCCTATTGCAGCAGTTTCGAGGCTTTGTTCCTGCACCTTCTTCAACATTCCCCTCAATGGCAGCGAACCTTGCAACACACTTCTCAACACCTTCATTGTTCAGTTTCGTCCCGCCAAAACCAAAATCAGATCGCGATAATTTTTCAAAATTCCTCACGATGAGCACACAATTCACAACAAACTTCCATCAGTAATCCAAAATTTCTTTTTCATTTCTCCAATCCTAAAGCTTTTCCTTAAGCATTGGCGGCGCACTCTTTTCAAACTTGCAACATAAGTCGAATGATATCCCCAAATTTTCTTAATAATTCGATATATTCAAAGTCATATTTTGGATAATCTTTAAAGTTCCAATCAATGACGTCGAATTTTACGATGTATTCGCTTCGATATTTTAAAACTGCTTCCAAATTTTTACCATCCAAAGCCTGGTCCTGAGAAAATTTTCCAAATGTGAAATCACTGGCGACGAATTATGCAGTATTCGTTGGTTTATGTCTTTAATTTGGCTTAGTAACGGGAAGGATCGCGATGCACACTGACCACTTCGCCTAACTTCCGTTCCATTTTGGCAAATCTGAAGCTGCGCCATAGACGTTTGTTCAACTTCCCAAAAGTGGCGCCAAAGTTCGTAATATTCACTGATTTGCGTTTGAAATTGTTCTTCAAATTCCAACGAGCCGAAAGATCGGCCTTGAACACTTTTGCAATTTCCTATTTTATTAACGAAAAAAGCCACAGAATTTTCTGCCTGATTTTCGAGAACTTTGTTTCGCATTTCACCCAATTCAATGCTCTGCTCTGCACGTTTCTTCAAACTTCCACTCAGGGACGATGATTTTCGATTGACGTTTAGAAATTCGCTCTTACATTTGCTAAACTCGAAGCTTTGCTCCAAGAGCATTTACAGTATTTTACTTATTAATGACGGTGGTCTCGAAAACCGTAGATTTATATTTTAAACATCACTTTCATTTCGTTCAACCGCAGATTCTTGCTCTAAGCATGTGTTGAAAATTTGTGCCCACTGACAACAAAATTGGCAGGACCTTCTACCCGATGCCTGAAAATTAACTTTCCATTCTTCAAGTCGGCCGCATTGCTTGGCGATTATTTCGTGTGGTCCATTCATTAGAGGGTACTCAGAAGTCGCTTATCCTTAACTCGACATCGGCTTCTCTTTTCGCCTGTTCCAAAGCTATGTTCTGCTCAGTTTTCCACGTTTAATCCCAAGACGACAAATCGGGCAACAATCCTTAGTCAAGGCTTTAAAGTCGTTCTCCAATTTCCACAAATCAAGAACCTCATTTCGAGCATTTTTTATCCTTTAATTTGACAGCGTCGAAACTCACAGCATTCTTTAATTCATAGCTTCCACGCTTTCATTCCATTTCGCAAAATATGCAGCTTTGCTCCAAGCATTTGCTCGTCTTTCTATTCATTTTCGACAAAATCGCCAGCATTCCCTTGTCAGAAATTCAAAATTGACTTCTTATTTTACCAACGCCTTGGCAGCACAGGAAATGGTGTATCACAATGGCACATGAATCGTGCTTCCTTTGGCATCAGTATTCAAGCCTGGTGCAAAATTTGACGATAGTTTGAGTAACTGAAGGTTTCTGCCCTCATGGGGACAGATCGTGCACGACCTTGCACAGGTTGTTATCCTTTCGGTGGATGGAGGTTCAAAAATAATATTTAAAAAAATTATACATTTTGCGAAACACTGACCTCGAATTGCTTGTTCCAGGCCCCTATGGAACGACTTGGGTGTATTGAGCACCACTGATAAGCTCATTTCAGTTCCCAGTAGACCTTGCATTGAGCAATTCACTTATCACTTGAGTGTAATAAACAAGTTCTGAATCTTAGCAACTCCCATGTTTATCAACTCCTTCATGCCATTACCTACACCTGATGCAAAAAAAATTTTCGTCTGTGTTAATAGCATGTGTTATACTCTCGCATTCAGCCTTGCCATCCTCTGCCCACCTCTGGTCTTTTGTAGGGAAATTTTTCTCAACTCCAGCATAGATCTGCAATCGTCTAATAACCTCTGGATTCGTCCATTTTTTAATAGCCCTTGAAAACGCCTTTGACCAAATGACTCGACTCTAACAATAGAACCCAACAGAAGTCTTGCCATTTTTATCACTTACACTTTCCTCCCTTCTTTGAACTCGTCCGATATTCATTTCCTTACGTCTTCTACTAAACCTATTATTCTACTAACATCAGATAGGAGGTGGTGTGTTATCGTTCACTGTGCATGCTTGGAGATGTGTGGTGTATCAGACATTCGCAAGGGCATACAGAAGTTGCATTTGTAGTTCCTCTTCTGACCTGCATTTATTTAATATAAAGTGCAAATATTGCTTGTCTTTCATCTGTAGTGCTGGTTAGCCCTTGTAATTTTCTGGACTATGCTCACTGATCAGCTTCACGTGCGATCGGCTCTGACCAAACTCCCTTATTTCCGGGAGAGAGAACACACCACAAGCACGTCTGTTGTGGTTCTTCTTGACTTAGCTGTTCATCGAGCTACCCAACATTGCTAGAATCAACATCGTCTTTGCCTTAATTGTCCAATCGGCCGTGGATATACGCATGCATTGAAAAATGTTGCATCTCATCACCTCTTCAGCAACGAATACGGTTACCAACGGTAAGAGATTTGCATGAACTTGAAAGTTTTGCGCATGGTGTGATGAAGAGGCATCACAGACTTGTAGAATTTTTCGACCACACTAAAGGTGAATGCAAAGCCTCGATGAAAATCAAATATCATTTGCAGTGAAGGTGAGAGAGAGCAAGGCGTTTGTAGTAAAATAACTCTCCGACTCATATCGCAGCCTCGCCGGCTCCGAGGCCTTTATTGGGGTGATTATGGGTGCGTGGTGCGGGCAGTAGTTGACGACTGTCCCTGCTTTAACATTGTTATGAAAGGACACGAATTTAATAGTATTTATACAAGAGCGGTTAGTGAAGTTGATGTTGTGTCCATATTGTTGTCTGACTGACAAACACATGTCCATTTTAATCCCATTTTTCCTACCCTTTGCCGACTCTCACACCATCACACGACTCTTATGTTAAACGTCACTTCAGTGGAGAGACGCAATCCAAAATGCCATCCCCATTCCACCGCTTGATTATATGCACAGAGTCTGGAAAATTTATCAAAGGAAACCTTTTAAGTGATTGCAAAATTGTTATATGCTTAAATGGCTACCTTTTTGGACACCTCTCTTAAAATTAGCCAAAAAATTGGCGATTTTGACTAAACGTTACACTTTGACAAAAGGAATTGACATAAGGGCTATTTTTGGTGGTGCTTGCGAAATCGTGCCATCATTTATTACCTGACAAAAGTCGTTTTGCTGAGCAGAAGGTGGCAGCGCACTGTGAGGAGTGTCTGTTGCATATGGATCAGGGAATCGGACCCGTCAGGCCCATGCAAGGCTTTCTAATTCGGAGTTTTCAATTTCATTATAACCATTCAGCGATTGTTATTCATCCCTGGTGGATGCAGTAGATTGCACATTGACGGATGTTTGGTTTTATCATGTACTGTACACTTCCCTCAAATGCTGTACAGTCGCTTTAATTCAAATGCACATCGAGGAAGGGGAAGAGGTTTGTTTTACCTTGTGCCTTCTCCCATATCCGTCGATGAAGTGAAAATGAGACCCCTTTTTTCTTAAACTTTACAAATGATTTACTGGATAGGCAAACGACATCGGAATTTTGCCCCTGGAAAGTAGTATTTTTGACCCTGTGGTTTATTTTTACACATTTTATCTGGCTGACAAACGGATTCCCAAATACTCATGCAGACTCTGACTTATAAATGTGCATGAAGTTGACAACTTTGCTGGATCACGTTCAGGAGGTGTTTTGCTCCGCTTGGTTGAGATTCAAGAGCCATTGTCTCTCTATCTGGCCTGCTCTCGTACGTCAACCTAAAATTAAGGGAAGAAAGGGGGAGTTGCAGTGTAAAAGATTACAATGATGCACAATTTAAGCAAACTCTGCGACCTTTTAAAAAACTTTACATTTACTGGCACGCAATGAAGGCTTACAGGTAGCATTTGAACAATATTTTGCTTAAGTTAAGAATTAAAATGGAATCAATGAAAAACGCTCACCAGTCTTTCTTATTCCAGAAGGTAAGAGAAAGAAGGATTAGCCACGATAGTTTTATTTTGTTCATTTGTCCAACATTGTTCATACCTATTCCTGCAGATGATCAACCAGGCATAGACCATTCAGTTTTTTTTTCCTTCTTTGTCCACATTTACCTCATCTGTCCACGAAATCAGCGTACATTCACTTGGCTAGAATATTCCTGTCTTTGTAACACTGGTCGAAGTCAAGTGGTGTTAGTTAACTGCGATGCTTTGTAGTAAAAGCTTTTCGCTCCAGACCATTTTTAGATGGTGCCGCAACAGGCTCCTTCCACTCCGAGAATATGGATTCAGCTGACCTTAGTAGTTGACCATAGCGCATGAAAGTTTTGTTATAGAAACAATAACTCCAAATCTATCAAGTTATACGCATTCTCCTCGAGTAACCGGCAGAGGAGAGAAGGAGATGAGGCTGGATTGCTTGCCAAGTGACCGCTTGATGACTAAGACGTCTGTTAATGAGACGGGCATCGGTCCAGACGTCCAATAATACAGTTTTCGACTCATGGAGCTGAAGTGAGGGGTCTATCCCATTTCTGTCGCCATCTCTTGCAGTAAATTGGAGACAAGTAAGCCAGTTGTTTAAGAATGACCAAAGAGGGGGATAGATTGGGAGATATTGCAGAGTGAAAGGCTTCCTACTTTGAAATGCCTTTTTTGTAACATAAAAGATTTGATAAGTGATAAAATCTTATGAAGCCATTCCTGAAACCACCGCGTTCTAGGCAGCAACATTCGCGAATCAGTCCAGGCGACGATGATCGCAACCCTCAAGTAGTCCTTCAGTCGCCAGCGGATAAAGAATTTTGCAAATGGAGGCTAAAACATATAATGTTTATTTTTGAAGATCACCAGTAAGTCTTTTGGGTCACTCTATGATGCGGGCAAGCCTCTCATATCCCAAAGGGCAAGCTCCGCAGTCCATTGAATTTTCCTATCGGCACATTTACTT